AATTATGATCTACTTTGGTAAATGAATCAGACATAAGAGGATTTTGCTACTATTTTTTAAATTGTGAGATGCCTATTTCATGCAGAATATAGTTAAACTCCAGCAATAACTTTTGAACTTTAAGATCACACCAAAGCAAAATTTAGAAACAAATGGTCACCCTAGCTAATACTGGGTAGAACGTTTGAACAATGTCTCAGAATTTAAAATATCTGTATAGAGTCCTTTCTAGTCATCCATACACACATAACCTAAGACAGAAACACACTTCTGGCATAACTGGAGTGTCAGTTCAGTTCATCACTCAGTCGTGTCTGACTCTCTGTGACCCCATGGACTGTAGCATGCCTGGCTTCCCTGTCCATCACCAACCCTCCTGAAGTAATTTATGTCCATCAAGTCAGTGATGCCATCCAATAATCTCATCCTCTGTTGTCCCCTTCTCCTCCTGCCCTCAATCTTTGCCAGCATTAGGGCCTTTTCCCGTGAGTCAGTTCTTCATATCAGGTGACCAAAGTATTGGAGTTTGAGCTTCAGCATCAGTCCTTCTAATGTATATTTAGGAAGTGTCACATGGAAGTAAAATATATCACTTCAATGATGTTTTCTGATTGGATGAGGATCATCCTTATTACTGCCCTTCTCCACTGTGAATGAGCTTCCCACATGGTGCTAGGGGTAAAGAGTCTGCTTGCCAATGCAGGAGACATAAGAGATCTCTGGGTTGGGAAGATCCTCTGGAGGAAATCATGGCCACAAACTCCAGTATTCTTGCCTGGGAAATCCCATGGACAGAGGAGCCTGGTGGGCTACAGACATGGGGTTGCAAAGAGTCAGACACAACTGAAGCAAACTAGCATGTACGTATGCCACTGTTAAGAACATTTTACCATGTTCTCTAAATAAAATACATATGCAGGACAACACTTGTTGATTTCAGATATCGTCTGTCTCTTCTTATAGGTACATCCAGGAATAAAGTATCTCAGTCAGTTCAGTCGCTCAGTCATATCTGATTCTTCATGACCCCATGGACTGCAGCATGCTAGGCCTGTCCCATCACCAACTCCTGGAGTTTACTCAAACTTATGTCCATTGAGTCGGTGATGCCATCCAACCATCTCATTCTCTGTCATCCCCTTCTCCTCCTGCCTTCAATCTTTCCCAGCATCAGGGTCTTTAAAAATGAATCAGTTCTTAGCATCAGGTGGCCAAAGTATTGGAGTTTCAGCTTCAGCATCAGTCCTTCCAATGAATATTCAGGACTGATTTCCTTTAGGATGGAATGGTTAGATCTTCTTGCAGTCCAAGGGACTCTCAAGAGACTTCTCCAACACCACACTTCAAAAGCATCAATTCTTTGGCGCTCAGCTTTCTTTATAGTTCAACTCTCACATCCATGCATGACTATTGGAAAAACCATAGCTTTGACTAGATGGATCTTTTTTGGCAAAGTAATTTCTGCTTTTTAGTATGCTGTCTAAGTTGGTATTAGCTTTCCTTCCAAGGAGCAAGCATCTTTTAATTTCATGGCTGCAGTCACCATCTGCAGTGATTTTGGAGCCCCCCAAAAAATGAAGTCTGTCACTGTTTCCACTGTATCCCCATCTATTTGCCATGAAGTGATGGGACCAGATGCCATGAATGTTAGTTTTCTGAATGTTGAGCTTTAAGCCAACTTTTTCATTCTCCTCTTTCACTTTCATCAAGAGGCTCTTTAGTTCTTCTTCACTTTCTGCCATAAGGGTGGTGTCATCTGCATATCTGAGGTTATTGATATTTCTCCCGGCAATTTTGATTCCAGCTTGTGCTTCCTCCAGCCCAGCATTTCTCATGATGTACTATGCATGTAAGTTAAATAAGCAGGGTGACAATATACAGCCTTGACGTACTCCTTTTCCTATTTGGAACCAGTCTGTTGTTCCATGGCCAGTTCTAACTGTTGCTTCCTGACCTGCATACAGGTTTTTCAAGAGGCAGGTCAGGTGGTCTGGTATTCCCATCTCTTTCAGAAGTTTCCACAGTTTATTGCGATCCACACAGTCAAAGGCTTTGGCATAGTCAGTAAAGCAGAAGTAGAACTCTCTTGCTTTTTCGATGATCCAGTGGATGTGGGCAATTTGATCTCTGGTTCCTCTACCTTTTCTAAAACCAGCTTGAACACATGGAAGTTCACGATTCACGTACTGTTGAAGCCTGGCTTGGAGAATTTTGAGCATTACTTTACTAGCGTGTGAGATGAGTGCAATTGTGCGGTAGTTTGAGCATTCTTTGGGATTGACTTTCTTAGGGATTGGAATGAAAACTGACCTTTTCCAGTCCTGTGGCCACTGCTGAGTTTTCCAAACTTGCTGGCATATTGAGTGCAGCACTTTCACAGCATCATCTTTTAGGATTTGAAATAGCTCAACTGGAATTCCATCACCTCCACTAGCTTTGTTTGTAGTGATGCTTCCTAAGGTCCACTTGACTTCACATTTCCAGGATATCTGGCTCTAGGTGAGTGATCACACCATTGTGATTATACTGGGTGGTTAAGGTATTTTTTGTACAGTTCTTCTCTGTATTCTTGCCACCTCTTCTTAATATCTTCTGCTTCTGTTATGTCCATACCATTTCTGTCCTTTATTGCGCCTATCTTTGTGTGAAATGTTCCCTTGGTATCTCTAATTTTCTTGAAGAGATCTCTAGTCTTTCCCATTCTGTTGTGTTCCTCTATTTCTTTGCAGTTTCTAAACATTACATTTTAAATTCCAAAAACCAAATGTGAAAATTTTCCATTTTCTTCACTCTTGAACATCAGTCCAATAAGGAAGAAGGAAAGTTTTGCCGAGGAAGTTGGTTAGATATCCAATGTTTACCATGTAGTCTCTTCAGTTCTTTCTTTTATGCAAGTTTATGTACAATCTTATCTTGTTCTTTGCCAAGGTTTTTTAGTTTTAAATCACAAAAATACTGCTTCCAAAAACTTATGACCACCTTGGTGGTGAGTGTTTATAACTGCTAAATGCTAACAGACAAATGCTGCTCCTTTCACATCTCTTCCTGCAAAAACAGAGCCCCCCTCAGACACCTGTTTCCTAATAAACACAACAGATAATGCAGCAAAATACTCAAGATTTCTTGGTTGACCTTTGAGGTTTTTTCCCTAATTTATTTTCTTTTGCACTAAGATCGCTGTGATAAACTGCTTTAATAAGAAACTTATCCACTTAGGAAAACCAGAGAGCCCAAACCATAAACCCAACTGGAGTCAGAAGGACTATGAAGATGTCAGCAATAAGCATAATGTTCCCTTTCAGCAATAATAGATTGATCCTTCCCCCACTACCCCAAGATGGGTTTTCACATTGCTGTGCTTAACAACGTGAAAATACTCTGATCTCTGGGAATACATTTTCTGGAACACAGAAAATAAATGTGCCCAATTCTGAATTTTTGCCAATAGCTGAAATAACACAGAGTCACCAATTGCTAGTTGTCAGAACCAGTAGTTAAACTGCACCCAAGAACCTAGGATATTGGCTCTGCATTCTGATTTACACAGAATTTTATCGACAGGAAGAAAACCCAGGATATGTAATATAAAATTGTGTGGGTGTTAGTTGCTCAGTTGTGTCTGACTCTTTGCAACCCCATGGACTGAAGCCCAATAGTCTCCTCTGCCCATGAGATTCTCCAGGCAAGAAGACTGGAGTGGGTTGCCATCTCCTTCTGCAGGGGATCTTCCCTATCCCAGGATCAAACCCAAGTCTCTTGCATTGCAGGCAGATTCTTTACCATATAAGCCACAAGAGAAGCCCATAATATAAAAAGAGACATGGTCAAAATTACTCCATTTCATACACTTAATATCCACATAAAAATAAAAACTTCTAAATATTTTTGATGTAGAAAATAAAATATATATCAAGCATTAATTTTTTTCTCTTTGAATTTTTTTTTTATTTTTAAGCATTAACTTTCAATGAGGTTTTCCTTTTTACCTCCATGATACAGTTTTTAAGATGAATTAAGTAAAACGTAAAGTCTACATATACACACCTTCATTAAATGAATGGTGACACATATATAAAGCATTTTCCTGAGAAAGTACAAAGATGCAGAAGTTTTCATGTAGCGCTCAGACAACCTAACAAAGACAAAAGGTCCCCTGTGGGAGAGTTTGTCTTCATGCAAAAAAAAACCTGGCATGAGAATAAGAATGCAACTATTGGGGTTGGATTGGCTCCCTCTGAGCTCCCTTAAAACCCTGAAGTTTATTAGTGTCTGAATTAATTCTTCCAGTGATTCTTCCCAGAAACATGCAAACTGTTCTGGAGGGACATTTGGAGAAGTTGTGTTTATTCTTTAAAGCCACCAGCAGCATATAAAAGAGCCCTAGTTCTCAAGAACTGACCATGAGCTAAGCAAGTAACCTAAAACAGCCAGCTTTTCCAAAACTTCACCATACCGGGCAGACATAAAATCACTAAGGTCACTAAAAGGACAGTTGATTTACACTGTAATGCTCTCAAATGAAATATTTTTCATTAAGTTAAATATTTTTCTACATTTTAGAAACCACTTCCCATAGACACAGTCTTTCTTGTATTTCTGTATTTCTACCTCCATACACATTGGTTTTCTTTGGGCATGAACTCCCAAGTTTCTCAGCATTCATTCCTGTTCTCTATCAGAGATCTTAAAACCCTGAACAAAAGCAAGTATGAAATGGGGGTGAATCAGAGAAGACTTCAAACTCTTTCATTTAGCTGTAAGGAAATAAGAATGCAATGCAATGTTATTTGGTATATGAATGCTCCCAACATGTTCTTAAACAGCAGAAAACATGGAATGCTCAATCTGATTGAGAATTAACAGGAAAGCATTTCAACAGAGCAAGAGAATCACAATGTTGCTGTTCCACAATAAGTAAGTTATTTTAAAGTACACTTGACATTTTAAAGGTGTACAAATTCAGATGCTTTTAGAAACTTCAGTGCCCACAAACGCAGAGTTTAGGAAGTTGAAGGCTGTGAACTTCTCTCCTGACTTAATCCATGCTTTGTTTTGCATTCCTCACAGGTAAGCAGGCAGTGCCTAAAACAGAAGCAAAAATGTGGGTTTGTACTTTGACACTGGAAGCTCTAGTCTGAACACAATATTATCTAGAGATTTTTAAAAAATGTAATTGATATATAGCTACTTTACAATGTTGTGTTAGTTTCCAGTGTAAGCAAAGTGATTCAGTTCTCCATATACATATGTTTATACATATATTATTTTCTGTTATGGTTTATTACAGGATATTGAATATAATTCCCTGGGTTATTCAGTAAGACCTTGTTGTTTATCTGTTTTCTATATAGTGGTTGTGCATCTGTTCATCCCAAACTCCCAATTTATTCTCACCCTCTCTCCCCTTTGGTAAGCGTAAGTTTGTTTTCTGTGTTTTTGAATCTGTTTCTGTTTTGTAAATGAATTCATTTACATCATATTTTAGATTATTTAGAAGTGTTTTCTAAGCTAAAGTTTTCAAGCTTGTTTTTCCCAGGAATAGTCGGAGCTGTTTCTTGGTCTCAGGCTCCTGGAATCTCATCACCAGGAGGCCAATAACGATCTTCCTGTCCAGTGTTGTCAGCGTGTTGGGCTGCCTTTCAAACAAGAATGGGGTGTTTAGAGTAAGGTGTCCCCAACAGCAGTCCTATAGTACCACGGTAGAAATAACTATTATTCACTGAGCACTCACTGAGTGTCATAAACAATCATTCCTATTCCTTACAACATCCCATAATAAAATTCTGATCACCATTTTATACAGATGAGAAAACTGAAGATTTGAGAGTTTAAGAAACATGTCCAAGGTCACACAACTTAGTAAGTAAACAAAACTACTTCTGAACCTGGTGATTCTAATAGCAGAGGTAATGTGGCTAATTCCAGCCTTACTGCTAGTATCCCCTCATGAGCATCACAACTTATATTAATATTAAAGGCTCTGAGAAGTCTTGCAATTGAGAGTCCTGGTTAAACTTGTGTAATCTTGTGAGAGTAGAAGCTGTATCGGCTGATTAAAGCATTCATTAGACACTTGTACAATGCCTTGAACATAGTAGGTACTTACTAAATGTTTGATGAGCAAACAAAATAGGTAACTCAGTTAAATCATAATTATTAATGAAGTTGAATAGCAACAACTCAAACTTTGAATTTTTTTCAACATATCAATGTTAAAAACTATTTTAATATTACAAATAGTTGAATGACCTTTCATTTACTTTTTAATAGTTACCTTTATTATAATCCCTTAACCAAACAGAGTACAAACCTATTATGCCCTGGACCGAAACCAGCTCCACGCAGCTGACCTTCAAAGGAATGGAATTTACTTTGGCACACTCCTATATATGATGCTTTTCCAAGGCCAAATCCTAAGATACCAGCAACTGTAAAAGGAGGTTAGGAAAGATAAACAACTTAAATATTTGGAATCTCCTCCATTGTCTGCTAGAACTTTCTTTATTAACAGAAATAATTCTTACATCAAAGGTACCTTACTAAATCAATGAACAAAAACTCTGGGAATGAAGCTCTCTATTAAAGAGCAGGATTGGGAACTAGAGACTTTTTGATCTCAGTTTTGAACTGGAGGTAGAAGGGTCAGGTTACAGCAAGCCAAGGTGATGCTCTGACACGGGCAGCCAGAGAGCAGCCCAACTGGCAGACAAGTCTGTGAAGTCACCCAGGAAGGGAGAGGTGGGACTTGAGTTGTGGCTTTGGGTAGCCTCCAAATCACTAGGTAGGAGACCCCTTAATTCTCTGTGTGGATGGAGTATGGGGAGCCACATTATCTTCCAGGCAGCGGAGGGAGTTCATGAGGCAAGACCATGGAAGACATTTCTAACCTGCTATTCCTGCCGGGAATGAGGTTTTGGATGGTAACCCAGAATGCATCTTCTGTAGACATAAAAGTTCTCTGCATAACCAGTGCAAGAAGGTGAAAGCCTAAGTTTATGGTAAACGTATATTAGAAAATGGGCTTCCCTGGTGGTTCAGTGGTAAAGAATCTGCCTGCCGATGTGGGAGACTTAGGTTCAATCCCTGAGTTATAAAGATCCCCTGGAGGAGGAAATGGCAACCTACTCCAGTATTCTTGCCTAAAGAATCCCATGGACAGAGGAGCCTGGTGGACCACAGTCCATGGGGTCGCAAAAAAGTCGGACATGACTTAGCAACTAAACAACAACATTTTCAGAAAGCCCCGATTTCAAAAGCTATTCATTTATCGTGTCCATTACAGCAAATATTTGGAAAAGATTGGCCGAAATAAAAAATTAAAATCCCTTGTGGAGCTACTGTTCAGAGGCTATGCTGACAGTGTCCTCTTGTGTCTCCTGCCAGGCCCTCCTAGGCCACGCTTTAGAGAGGACTAAGGTGAAGTCCCTACTGCTCAGCTTTCTGTCAGTGTCGAATGAACTAAAATACTGCGATATGGCAAAAACTGGAGACTAGTGTTTCAGAGAGGTTTACCTGGACATTCCTATCTCCAGTTACTATAAACATTTCCTTTTTATAAAAATGAAGCTTTGTTTTTTAACTTCTATGACTTACGTGCAACTTTAGGCAATGAACCAAATCTTGGATTCGCTGCTAAATAACCTAGGAAGTAATGTATAAAGACATTATTATTTCATTTTATAACATTTAAATTAATGAAGGAGAAAGAGGTCTTAATTTCACCTGCAAATTTAATTTCCCTTTGCCATGTAACCTAACACAGTCATTCATTCCAGGGAATAGGACATATTTGGGAAAGAAGTAAGGGGACATAGACTAGAAACGGTCAAAAGTCTGTATAAATAAATCCTTCACCAAAACAAAAATGCCAAATATTGTACCAAAGCCTGCCAGGAGGACCACAGAAAACTGGATTCTCTTCAGTTAAAACATTTACCAAATACCAACTCTTACTTACCATGATGGACCAGTCCTTGGGTGACAAGCATGCTTACAAGAGAAAAAGGCAGAGCTGAAAAACAAAAAAGCCCTTCAGTATTGGTATTTTGAAATTTGGCACCTCCCCTAGAGGTCAGGGAGAATTACTCTGTTTTTTTCTTCTTTGGCTGTGAGATCTTAGTCATTTGTTATTTTACTTATTTGACAATTTACTTATTTTACTTATAAACTTACAAACTTAAAAACTTAAACTTTACTTATTTACTTACTTTATTTATTTTACTTATTTACTTATTTGACCCCAATTTTCTTGGGGTCTTACCCAGGCACTCAACATAATGCACAGCATTAACAACAAAATCTAGACTCCCTGCAATTCCATCTCCAACACCCATCATGTGTCGGACTCTCATCACCACTACAACACAGGTATCTTCGCGTGTGTATGCACTGATTTGGGGAATTCGGGAATTGCCGTTAGCTGTATATTTGGAAAATTTCAATCCTGCATAAAAGTTTAAAAAAAAAGACAATAAACTGCACACCCTGTTTAGGATAGTGCCCTGCTTTCGTCTTTTAATGCCATTTTGTTGTATGATTTGGATATGTTTATTTTCTGAAAATTACTACATTCGCAGTAAACATGGGCAATGTTTAGAGATGATTTTTAAAAACAGGCACATTAGTCTGGCAAAAGCAGTTTCTAGTCAAAATGTGTCAAATGACTTCTTCCCAAAGCAGGGAGAAGTGATTATATATACATATATTATATAATATATATTAACATATATATTAGGATTACTATATAATATATATTATTATATATATATACACTATTTGATTTGGCTTAGTTGCTAGCTCTTCCTAGTAACCAAGACAAATCAAATAGCAACCAGCTTTTCCACTCAGATCTATCTACCTGATGGTAGGCAAATGGGTCATACTGTAATGTTAAACTACTAGGGGCTTAATTCAATTACTTACTCATGGGTTATCAGAAAATAATTTCTAGCAGCATAATCAGTCATCAGTAATGCATAGCAAATATCCACTTCTAAGCAGTGTTATTTCCAAAACAACTGATACTGGATTTCAATGATTTAAGAAATCAAAATGAGTATTTCAAAGTAAAATTATCTCTATGCCAGCAATATTGGGACTATATCTACAGGTTCTAGTATGACATTTTCAAATGACAAGTCATGAATTTTTAAAATTAGATGGGACTTGAATGTAGTGCCTGAATTCACACCCTTGTCTTATATAAAGCAGGCCCAGAAAGAGAAAGAGACTTGGCAGAAAAGGTTATTTCAAGACACTGTAAGGGAAGTATTAACAGGATGCTCCCACTCTTCATTCATTCCACAAATATTTAACTGGTTCACATATTTTTATATGTGAAGCACTGTGTTTGGCTCTGGGAGGGAGCAATGAACCTGAACTTGATGAAGGTTAGAGTCCAGTGGAATTGAAGAAGGTCTACTCTTTCAAGAAATTCTAAGTTAACACTCTTGGTTCACTTTCTCAGTCGCATGAAGGAAAGTGTTAGGGGTGAATCACTTTTTGCTAAGAAGTGTAAACAGCTCCTAAATCAGATATTGCCCCTACCCTTAAAAAGGTCTCAATATGGATTTAAATTCCAAACAGCCTCAGATACCAATGTTCTTCCCAGAATTATGCAAGATTCCTGCTCAAAGAAAAAAAAATCATTACCATAATTCTAATATGATATTAGGCAATTTATATGAGGCAGCAAATACAGTGTTAACAACGATCAAGAGGGGTGCGATTACCTCTCTTCCAGAAACTTTCTTCTTGACATTCCCGGATAATCTTTGAAATCTCTGATCTGTGGATGTGCAGTTTTGATTTTGGACAAAACAACAGACTCTGCAAGGGAAGTTACACGATGAGTTGACTGAAATCATCAGAAAAGCATCTGTTCTATTTTCCCTCGAGGAGGGCAAGGAGGTCTCTTCCCTCTGGTCTCACAGCGTGTGTGCCTTAGATCCTGGCTGCCAGCACTGAGCAATAGCCAGTTTCAGCCAGTGCTTTCCAGATGCAAGTGCTGGGTGAACTTGAGCAAGAAAAGAATTTTTCTGAGACGCAAATAGTGATCCATGGTCTAGCGAGCATGAAGCAGATATCTGGTCAGAATGCGTTACTGCTGAGGCCACATTTTCTTTTTTAAATATGTATTTAACTAGGCTGCACCAGTTCTTAGTTGTGGCATGCAGGCTCTAGTTCCCTGACCAGGGACTGAACCCTGGCCCCCTGCATTGGAAGCTCAGACTCTTAGCCACTGGACCACCAGGGAAGTCCCCACATTTTCTTCTTACTTCTAGCCTCTGCACACAGTCACTTCCCCTGCAATGCTACTCACTCCCTGGGTTGTAATCTTTTGTTGTTCAGTGACTCATTAATTTTTTATTGTGGTAAAATACCCATAATAGTTACCATTTTAACCATTTTACTTAAAATTTTTTTTTCATACTCTGGTATACTTTATTTTTTAAAAAATTCTATATTGAAGTATAGTTGGTTTACAAAGATGTGTTTAATCATTTTAAAGTATACAATAAAAAACAATTAAAAATATATTAAAAATTTTTTTAAAATAAAAAATATAAAAATAAAAATAAAATATACAATAAATGGCATTAAGTATATCTATAATATTGTGCAGCCATACCTATCTAGTTCCAGAACTTTTTCATCACCGTCAAAGGAAATTCCATACCCATTGAGGAGTCTCTCCTCACTCCCTAATCACCTAGCAACCACAAATCTGCCTTTTGGATCTGACTATTCTGGATATTTTGTACAAACAATATCATACAGCATGTGACCTTGTGTGGCTAGATTCTTTTCCTCTGCATAATGTTTCAAAGGTTCATCCACGTTGTAACATGTATCTGTATTTCATTTCTTTTTATGGCTCAGTAATGTTCCAGTGTACACACATAACACATTCTGTTTATCCATTCACCTGCTGATAGACACCTGGACTGTTTCCACTGTCGGGCTATTGTGAATAATGCTGCCGGGAACATTCCTGTACAAGGTTTTGTTTTCCGCTCTGCTGGGCCAGGTTGTAACTCTGTGTTTAACTTATTGGGGAACTGCCAAACTGTTTTCCACAGGTGCTGCACCATTTTACAATCCCACCAACAATGTATGAGGTTTTCAATTTTTCTATATCATTGTCAACACTTGTTATTTTCTGTTTTTGTTCTTTTTCTGTTGTTGTTGGTTGCACTGTGCAATTTATGGGATCTTAGTTCCCTTACCAGGGGTTGAACCCGAGTACTTCTTTTTTAAAATTAGCATATTAAATACTTTTAATATAAATTATTTAATTTGTTTAAACTAAAAAACTAAATTGTTTCTGTTTTTCATTGGGGTCATGCTAGTGGTTGTGAAATGGTGGTTGTGACTTGCATTTTCCTAATGATTAATGACATTAAGCATCTTTTCATCAGATTTTTGGCCATGTGTATATCTTCTTTGGAGAAATACCTATTTAAGCCCTTTGCTCATTTTTTAATTAGGTTGTCTTTCTGTTGCTGACTTGTAAGAGCTCTTTATATATTATGGATACTAAACCTTTATCAGATATATAATTCATAAATAATTTTTCCCATCCCATGGGTGACTCATTTGTTTTTTAGAAAACAAGCCTTATTGAAAATTTTCCTTAAATCACACTTATATTTCCTTGTTTGTGAATTACTTATGTAGGTCCTTTGCCTTTTATCTCTTGGAATTTTAGTGATTTTCTTGTTGAGGTGCAGTTCTATGGCTTTTGAACTTCACCCTGTTGATTTTGCAAATGTTCTTTTTGGACTTTCTGTAGTAGACGTCAGTGTGAATGGTGATTACCATTTCTCGAACACTTGCCCCCGCGCCAGGCACTGTGCCAAACACTTTACGTGCGTGATGGTGAGGTACAAGGGTCCTGTGGTGCCGATGCCTTCAGGGCTCTGCCTACCACCCGAGCAGGCAACTCTGCTCTTCTTCCCTACAGCTCCCCGCAGGGCGGCAGGTGGAAGCGGTGGTCAGGGTGAGCCACAGCAACCGACTTATGTTGGTTAGCTCAGCAAACACTCCTCCTTACCCCAGTGTAAATATTTCTTCTTGGTTCTGCCTGTGGCTGTGGCAGAAATAAGCATCTCTCTCCTTCCCCTCCCCTAAACACACACACATGCAGGGTCAGGGAACCTGACGATCACAGGTGCTCTGAGTCCTGCAGTCAAGATTGAAGTACCAGCAGAGACTGTCCCCAGGGAGCTCTGGTGAGCCTTTTCTGTAGAGCCATACATGTTTTATGGCTCTCCATTTCACAGAGGCAACTTGGGTGTCTAAATTCTTTTCCTGGTGACATGATATTATTTGTCTATTTGCCTCTCCTAAACTTTGCTCTTAAATATAATCTCCATAACCCATTTTTAGCTTGAAAAATTGACCTCAGAGAACATGAACTCTATTTACCCATCACAATACCTTCTCTCTTCTTCATTCATGTGTCCCCAAGACACATAATCTTCATTCTCAACAAGCTGAAAAACTGTGCCCCAGTTAACACTTGGGTTCTCAATCTGATGACTAATTCAGTAGTTAAGGGCTCTGCCATATCAAACAGTAACAACTGTCAGCAGCGTGTCCTTAGCATGATTAGCCTTGGTAACAGAAATGTAAAAAACATGCATCATTGTAGCATTCTGTTAGAGTCAACAAAGAGTTTTGCTCTGCTAAAGGAAACCTCTTCAGTCACTGACAACCTATAGCAGAGTTAGTTAAGTTGAATTCTAAACAGGGAAGAGTAAAGAAAAGATTTTGTAAATTAAAGTCTCCTTTCTCCTTTTCAAGACAGCCAGAAACATACTTTCCTTCTCCGTTCTATTTTCCTTGAGCCTATCCTACAATGTGCCAGGCAGAGAAAAGACAACTGATCAAGGATGAGGTTTAAGGGGAAGTCCTGTATGATATTCCTCTTCAGATGGCAGACTTCAAATCATAAGTACATACCTGCTTGCTTGGTGGTGGCAAATGGGGACCTTTTTCTTGGTTTTCATGTGTGGACACTGAAGCCATGATGACCTTGTGCTTGCTTCTCTTCTAGTTGAGTGGACTCAGCTTCCTTGTTGACCCACTATCTAAGGAAAGTAGAAGAGAGTTACCGTGCAGTGACTGAACATTTATGTCAACCATTAAAAACACCCTTAGGATCAACTCCCCTATTTGGAAAACTTACTTTCATTTTGTCATTAATCTTAACTTCCAACAACCTGCAAACTCACTTTCTAATGCTCCTTCCCCAGCAACACACACCCACACACACACACACACACACTAACAGACCAATGGTGACAGATCAGAGGTGGAATGAAGTGAGATGTCAAAGAAGGCACGGTGAACTGTTTTACAGCCTATAGTGTTAGTCAGTTGGTCGTGTCTGACTCTTTGTGACCCCATGGACCGTGTGGCCCACCAGGCTCCCTCTGTCCATGGAATTCTCCAAGCAAGAATACTGGAATGGAAGCTCCAGAGCACAGGCAAGGTCTTGGAAGTGAGTGCGGTAAGGGGATCACGGTAAGGGCTCCAGGGGGTCACTGGAGCGACCTTCTATAGGGGATCTTCCCAACCCAGGGATCCAACCTGGCTTTCTTGTGTTGCAGGCAGATTCCTTATCATCTGAGCCACCAGGGAAGCCCTTAAGACTTATAAACTACCCTAAAAAAATTTCAATTCATTACAAGGTCATTAGCTTGCACAAATATTTACTGAGTGTCTTATTATGTGCCAGACCAAAGGATACAAAAGATAAGAGGAAATCAATACTAAAGTAACTCACAGTCTACAGGGAAGACAGGCAGTTATACAACATGTATAAGTCTTCCCTAGAAGTAGGCACAGGGTGCTGAGGAAGGAGAGGAAAGAAGGCATGTTCGCTCTGGTTAGGTCTGAAGACACCAAAGACTAAGACTCCTGAGCTTTCAAGAAGGCCTGTGGAGAGTGGATGGACTCCAGAGGCAGGGAGACCAGATTGGCAAGTGCTATCATGGTCTAGGGAATGAAGTGAAGCGGCCTGAACCAAGACCCTTGTGGGAAGGCTAGAGATGACAATTTTGCATCTGGAAATGTTGGATTTGGGTGCCTGTTGGGGCATACATTGGAATTAGCCATTAGGGATTAGAATATTAGAGGATTTGGGTCTAGAGTTACAGATAAAGAGTAGGCTGGAAAGATCATTTTGGAAGTTGCCATCTCGGAGACGACAGATAAAGTAGGAAACAGGAGTAAAATTGTGTAAGAAGAATACTGGAGAATGTGAACATCGAGACCAAGGGAATACCAACAGGAGGAAAAACAACAACAGGCCAAGGAGAGGACTGAGAAAGAAGCTCGGATACAAAGAGGAAAGAGTGTCTGAGGAAGAAATGAATCATCAGTATCACGTGGCTGAGAAAAGCAGTTTGGCAACAACGGGCATAGTCCAGGTGGACCATGAAACCTGCCCAACCTCCTGCCTGTCAACGGGCCACTGCCCTCTGCAGGTCCGGACTCCATGACAACCACTGACTTCCATGCAAAACGAACATATTTTCATAAACAATTCAGTTTCCTACTAAGCTGCCAGGAATATCAGCCAAGGGGATCCGTACTTGACCAAGTTTCACTTTAGGTGCTTGACGTTATTGTAGAGGGAGTATGATGCCCTAGGGTGGAAAGTCTCGGAATCAGGAAGACCTGAGTTCAGATCCTGACTACTTGGTAGCCTGGCTTTGGGGTAAGTGACTTGAAGTGTCTGTGCCGCAGCTTCTCAACTGCCAAGTGTGGGTAATGGACCTTAACGGGCTAGTACAAGGATGAGGGGTGAGGTCCACAAGTCGACAGCTCCACACCCAGCACACAGTGAGTGTGTGAGCAGTAAAGGGCAGCTGTCAGAACACTGAGCACCCTATTTCTTGAGGACCTCCAGGAAGTCTTTGCTGACATAAGGCCAAATTAGATTATCTTTGCCTAGTTAGGCCATTGCCTCAAATCTGGAAGCAAAAACACTACAACTGGGCTTTGGTGGTCAAGTCCCCTCACACCCACTTAGTCTTCAGTCCACATCTAAGCTGGGCTTCTCAGGGTCTTGCCTTAAGGTGCAGCCCCCACCCTATGCCCAGATCTGGTTTGGGGTCCCTCTGCTTCTTTAGCTGTTGAGGGTGGGGTGTCAGAAGTCCTGACAGGTGGGCAGCGGGAGGGACGCGATCGGCAGGATAGGGGGTGGGGGCGTGTGATCGGACACAGCCAGGGCGGGTCCCTGCACTTTCTGGTAAGGGAGCAGAGGCGGGGAGTTGGAGGGGGGGGGCGGGATCAGCTTGCAGGAAATTGCTGCCGTCCGGGGTCGCATCCGGAGCCGGACCAGAGGGGTGGGGGGTGTAAGGGGGCGATTCTAGGCTAAGTACCACCATCCTGAGGACACCAGAAGTCATGTGGTCAAAGAACGCCACCCCTTCTCGCTAACGCACCCGCTGACACCTGCCCCCACCCCCCAAGAGGGCACACCCGCGGGGCTGAAGATCGCCTCGCAGTCCGCGTCTCCCTCGCGCGCCCAGCCAAGCTCGCCACCCTGCGCGGCCGCGGCTGCAGCGCCGATGCTCCGGCTTCCCCGGTGCCCGCGCCCGCCTCCGGCGACCCCCCGGAGCCCTTACCGTGGTCCCCTTACCGCGCTCGCTTCCAGGACCTCGCCTGTGCTCTGGAGCTTCCCTCCGCCTCTTTCTTCCCCTCGCTCCGCCCCCGCGGCGCCCGTCCTCGCTTCCTCGCGTGAGTCATTCAACAAGTACACCCCATCCCCCGCCTCGCAGTCCCTTTCTCTGTTGGTGACCTCACACCCACACACAACTGCCCCGGCTGAAACCCGGCTCCTGTTGGAATCTCCGACTCCACCCCAAGTCTTGTCCAGACACCGGTAGATTCTACTGAATACTTCCTCGATCCTCGATTGCCTTTCAGATAACTCCTTTCCTCCCAACAAAAACAGCGACAACCATTTATTGAACACCTTCCTTGGACCAGGCGGCTACTTCCACTTATCTGCAGGCTTGTCTTTTCTTTTGCAGTGTAATTGGCATGACGTTACATTAATTTTAGGAGCTCAACATAATGATTCAATTTTATATACGTTGCAAAATGATCACGCAGTAAATCTAGTTAACATCCCTCACTATTTGTAGTTACCAAAAAAAGTTACCCCACCCCTCCCCTTGGATGAGGATTTTTAAAATCTCCTCTTTTAGAAACTTTCAAATATGCAATATATATAATATTATTAACTATAGTCGCCATGCTGTGCGTTACATCCTCGTGACTTATTTTATAACTGGAATTTTCCACCTTTGATGCCCTTGGCTCATTTTGCCGATCCCTATGCAATCTTTTCTACACCTCTTTAGGGTGAATACTATTATGTGCATTTTATGGACCAGGCAACTGAGTTGTGCAAGGCCACACTGGTTGTTCAGTCTCAGTGGTGTCTGACTCTTTGCCACCCATGCACTGCAACACACCAGGCTTCCCTGTCCTTCACCATCTCCCAGAGTTTACTCAAACTCATGTCCAGTGAGTTGGTGATGCCATCCAACCATCTTGTCCTCTGTTGTCCCCTTCTCCTCCTGCCTTCAATCTTTCCCAGCATCAGGGTCTTTTCCAGTGAGTTGGCTCTTTGTATCAGGTGGCCACAGTATTGGAGCTTCAGCTTCAGCATCAGGCTTTCCAATGAATATTCAGAATTGACTTCCTGTAAGATTGACTGGTTTGATCTCCTTGCAGTCCAAGGGACTCTCAAGAGTCTTCTCCAACACCACAGTTTGAAAGCATCAATTCTTTGGCACTCTGCTTTCTTTATGGTCCAACTCTCACATCCATACATAACTGCTGGAAAAACCATAGCTTTGACCATACAAACCTTTGTCGGTAAAGTATTTAAGTTAAAAATAAAAGATACCTCTTTGCTACCTGTGTCACTCTCCCCAACCTCAGCTGCGATTTCTCCCTGGAACATGCCACTGGGACTCAGGGAATGTCTTGAGTTGGAAGAGAGACTGTGCATCACATGGAAGGCCCTTATCATTTCACATCTTTCCCGACTGTCCTAATTAGTCTCTACACCTCTGGCCTCTTTTGAGCCCCTCCGCCATCCACTGGGCCTTCCTTCTGTTCCTTGTGTTCACCCAGTTCTTCCCACCTGAGTGAAGCCTGGCATGGAGCCTCCCCCTGCCTGGACCCCTCTCCCATCAGACTTGTGCTATTTTTTCCTGCTCATTCTTCTCTGACTCTTCCTCATGGGGATCTGCCTTGACCCCAGACACCCTAAAGTGGGTCTCCCTTTTCCTTGTTCATAGCACTTATGCGTTATCATGAACACTCCTGTTGGTGTGCTTACTCCTTTAAAATTTATATTCCCTGCCTCAGTGTCCTCTTCCTGAGATACGGAACAAGATGGTATTATTTTGCCCACCATTGTATACTTAGCATCTCATATTTGAAACGGGCCAGTGAAGAGCTGCTGAATGAATGAATGAACTCAATAAACCTGAGTTCAAAGGCTGCCTGTCAGGATACTGTTTGGGAGAATCTGTGTTCCTCCCAGTACACCTCCGGGCCACTGTTCCTCCATGTGATTCACTGCTTTCTTTCACTCCCACTTCCCCCCTCTAAATGAAAGGAGATACAATTCTGTTTCTAATTTTGCTTTGTGTTACCTGAAGTCAGAAATAACTCTATTTCCTGGTCTAAAAGGAAGAGCTTTCTAATCAGTTTTGTGATAAAATTGAATAGTTGTAACTATTCAATAGTTCAACTATTCACAGTGTATCTATGTTACATCAAAGTTTATCTTCCAACAAATATGCTACAGGCATTTGACCTTTTAACAGCTTGCTACAATAGAGTCTATATCCCTACCCTCATTTCTACTTTCCACCAGAATGTTCTACTTAATTGTCTGAAATAACTAGAAGTTATCCATCAGATAGTAAAGAATCCACCTGCAATATGGGAGACCTGGGTTTGATCCCTGGGTTGGAAAGATCCCCTGGAGGAGG